ATTGAGAATAAATATCTTCAAATTAATACGCATTTAAAAGTGCAGTATCATTTTTATCAATATGGCCATTGAATGTAAGTCAGTATTTATAAAATGTATGTTCTTTATGACCAGGTTTATAATTAAGATCTGTTAAATTCATAAAAAGTTATTTTGCTTCATTATATTCAGCTAACTTTTGATTTAAGTATTATTACTATAATGATTCATGAAGACATTTTTTTGCTTCACTAGACAAACTCATTTTATTGATTTGTATATATGTTATTTATATATGTGTGTTATTTGATCTGACAAAAAGTATATGTTATTGAAACTATATTAATTGGTAGATAAATCTTTAAAATAAAATTAATTATTCTAGAAATTTTAGCCAGATACCAAAAAAAATTATATATTTGATTGAAGTAATTATTATGTATAATCATAATAATATTATACCATTACTCATATATTCATAGAACTGGAGAAATCTGTGATTGATGTAGTAAATCAGAAAGATGTTATATTTATCATAATTCTCTAATATCTACTTCTTGCAGAGATTGTGATGAGCCAAATAGATCTAAATATAATACATACAATAAATATGTAAGAAAATATAAAAATAAAGAGAATTATTACAGAAAAAAGTAGGATGAGTTATGTGCACAAATTACCATGTTTAAGAATTATATATCTGACTTCTCCAATTTTATGTATGAAGTCTAATCATATACCTGATATATGTATATATTGATTATTTTTTCCAGGACCTCTTATTTTGGAAAAATGGCACTTATATGCCTAAGTAATATTATATTCTCTTTGATACCTTCTATATTTTTGATAATTTTATTGTGTAAAGCTACAGATTTCAAGATTTTTGATCAAACTCATATCTTATTTATATCCATTTTCTGGTAGAATTACAATATCATGATCTATTCAATTTTTGGATATAGTTATCAGTGGATAATTAATTTTGATTTGAAAAAATATATTTCATAGTTATAATCTACACAATTATACTATAATAATAATGTCCAAAGTAGCTACAAATTTTGTAAATCAGTATAACTTAATTTCTCAGATGAGTATAACTGAACTTGATAATTATGCTGAAAAAATATATAAAGAAATTAAAGATTATAAAGCCTATAATCATGCTTGAAATAGGATTCAGAAGTTAGGGTTTAGCAAAGATCAAACATATATTTTAATTTCTATTTAGGCTTCTGGAAGACATATTACAGGATAAGATTTGATCAAAAAGCTTATTTAATATATTAAGAAGAATGAAGATAATCTTGAATTCAAAGAGATAAATATGCTAGCATATAACTTAGCTAAAACAGCTCCTACTATAATAGCTCAATCTTTATGTCTTAAATTATTTCAAAAAAAATTGCATATACTTAATGCTAAATATCTTACATTAGAAGTAATATATATATCTGATATTACTCAAAAATCAAATAAAGAACAAGTAATAAATCAGGAACTCTATGAAGATGAGGGATGTAATTGTTTAGAATTCTTTTACTTGGAAAATATCCAGAAAAGACTTAAGAATTACAATATTACCAATTCCCTTACAATGTAAAATTTAATGAATATAATGATAATATTATCTATGAGACCAGCAGATATTGTAAATCTTCATATTGATTACTATAAATTATCTAATGCTAATTGGTATGATTCTAAATATTCTTGATATTATACTAAATATGCAAAAAATGCAAAAGATGAGTCCTGATCATTTGTATCTATAGAGAAAGATCCATTACTGGCTAGAGAATTACTCATTTAGATCTAGAAAGTAATTCTGGTAAATTTTCATTTCTAATGAGAAATAAAGATAGTGATATTAATATTCATCTGATTAATAATTTCCTAGCTATTTATAGAATAAGCTCATCATATTTGAGAAAAATTGGATCTGATTATGTTATTATTATTTATGAAAATAAGAATGATTCCAAACATAAACATCTCCATTAATTAGTATTAAGACATAAGATAATTAATATAGTATTAGATCATTATAGTATGATAAATAACAGACTAATTGCTTTAATGACTAGAAAAAAAAATACTGAGATATCAAATATTATAGATCTATACAATTACTAATCATGCTTCTTTACTTTTACTATATTCATAGTAAAATCTTCATCATCATTAGATAATTTAGATTCGGATGAGGACTCAGATATTGTATCATTAAAAATTAGTTTTTTTCTATCTTTATATTTTCTTTTAGCCTCCAGCTAATTTTAAACAAAGAATTTTTATTTGCTATGATGTATATATATCTGTAATAATTTTTCTTGTTTTACTTTTAATTCTAGATATAGGTACTGATTGGCACTAGCTAATTTTTTAATAAAAATTTCATGTAATTATTGAGAAGAGATATTTGGAAATAATAGTAGTTCCTTACCAGTAAATCAAAATTTTTTTACCCCTATATCAGTGAATTTCTTTATTAACATACCTAGATCATCTTCTAAGAGACTGTGAAATTTCTCAAATCTTTGAAGATACACTCTCATATTTTTATTGGCTTCTTCTACTATTTTTTTATTAGTATAATTAATAATATCAAGTTCTTTCTAAATTGTATTTATATTCTTTTTCAAGTATAAAAGCAAATTAAATAATTTTGAAAGTGATAAATTAGAAGAATCTCTATTATTTTGATTTGCTATATTATTATATTTCACTGTCAAAATGAGATTGTCATCAATATCAAGATTTTTTTGTATTAGTATTAAATCTCCTATCAAATATACAGTCTGGTTCAAAAAAAAACTAGAATTTTTTATTTGTTACTATATCACGATCATTATATTAAATCATATAAAAATTTTTTTATTTGATATTTAGAAATAGACAAATTTATTTAAACAAAATTAATATGAAATACATTCTCTATTATTCTCTATAATTAGCTCACATCATCTCTTCATTGATCATACCAATCCAATTAGAGTAGATTTTGAAATTTTCTCTCATTCTTCCTCCATATACTATTCTAACTTATATATATTTTTTGGCATTCTTTTTTCTATATTTTCCTTGACAATCCCTTATAAGTTTTCTATTGAATTCAAATTTGGATTATTTGATAATCAGTCTATAACTTCAAATATATTTTTTGAAAGAAAGAATTTTGCCAAGTGATTTGTATGCTTAGGATCACTATCCTATTGAAAATGTCATTGACTCTCAAGCATCCCTCTCATCTCTAATAAATATTTATTTAAAATTTTAACATAAAATTTCATATCCATGATCTGTTTAAAACAGAACAAACTTATCTTTTTCTTAATACAAAAATTTCTTCACGCAAGAATTTTTATTTGACTTTTAGACATATAATGAATTAGTTATTTTCTCTTATACCATCATTTCATAATATTTCAGTAGAGTTCAAATGCTGTCTTGTCAGTAAAAAAAGTTTGATCTTAATTATTGTTAAGATGAGCTTGTGCTCACAAAACTCATTTTTTCTTATGTGCTTCAGTAAATATGGTGGTAGCTTGTGGCTGACTTTTTAAATATCCAAGATTATTCAAATATCTTCTAATAGTTTGATATGATACTTGTATATCTATTTCTAATATTTTTATGGTCAAATTTCTTGTTGAGAGGGAGGTATCCTTGTGAATGTATTGCCCTAGTCTTCTTGTGAATTGTTCATCAATTCTTTTCAGTCATCTATTTTTACTCACATGTTTTGTAGATCTGGTTTTTTTGAGTTTTTTTATGTTATCATATATTATTGAGAAAGAGAACTTTGTTTGTGCATGAATTTTTTTTGTATCATGTATACCATCATTCTATAATCATAATAAAATATCTTGTTATTTCTTTTTTGCTTTGGCTGACATATTAAAGAACATCCCTACAAATGTAAAAAGGTTTAATAAAAAAAAAAGATTATCAACATAGAACAAATTTCTTGGTTTTCCTTTTTGTATTAAAAGATCTTAAATGAACTTCAATTGGATGATTAACAAACATTTTTGTGAAACAAAAAAATTCCAGTTTTTTTTGGACCAGACTATAATAGCAACTTATATGAATCAGCAAGTATTTTTCCATCAGGCTTGTGTTCTATTTGCTTTAACGTATTACTATTAATACCAAGTTTTTTCTGAATAGCTGTTATATCCTTTTTCTTATATAAAAACACCTCGTATAATTGAGGAAATTTTTTACTTGGATCAGTATTATTATTAGTATTACTCGTCATGATTGTTATAATATGGTAATATAATTAATGCGCATAAATATATAAATTAAGTGAATAAGCAAATTCAATCTGAAAATAATTATAACCACATCATAACTGCGAAATTACATCACGTTATAATGGAGCGATGTCATGTGTTTTAAATCGACGAGTCAGAGATCAACCCATGGGACATAGATAACCAGCGATAGAAAAAAACAGTTGGTTTGTTGATCAAGATTGGTAATGCATAACGTATCCGAAAAATAGTGAATATCGAGTTGAATTGGTCAGGCCTTCAGGTGCCTCTACAGGCATGATATTAATATTCGAAATCAATAGTCTACGCTTTCACCGTTACTATTTGGATTGAATTTTGATAGGCCTCACAGCATTGCAGACGATAAGTTCTTGTATTGACATAATCACCGCTACCCCATCTACCTTCTATATTATCTCTTATATTTTCTTTTTTATGATCTTTATTGCATATAGGGCAGGATACTGAACTGTTAAAATCAAAATAATCGTGATTTTTATTGCTATACTTCGAAGATAAATAAGGGAACTGCTCTAGCACTTTATTAATAACGGATTTTCGCTTCTCTTCTAGATCATCGGGTAGAATAGAGATAGGAGGTCGAGATTTGTTGTCAGAGGCAGTCACACAGTAGCTAGATGGGCCAGAGATGTGCGTAACGCGTGAAAAAATTCATTTCTTTATTAACCAGCTAATGAAAAAAGTAAATTTCAATGGATACCCCTAAATATTACATCATTTTTTGGCCATGCCAGCTCTGCTGATTTTCTCTTGCACACGCCTCTTCTTAGTCGCTGGTTCATCGCTAGCAGACAGCCTATCTTTTAATAATCCCACTATTACCTCTAAAATCCTCTTAACACTTTTTCGCAACTCGGTATCATCTTCGAGGACGGCTTCTGTGAGCGAGATGCGGTATTCGGTTTTACTCGTACAATAGATGGCGTCGGTAGTGTGAAGGATAAAGTACCAGTCTGTTCCGGTACTGACTATATCAGACATAATCATAGTCAGCTTCGAATGCTTCGTCGGCCTTCCGCTTTTTCTTGATCATATCTAGATTCATCTGAAAGAACGAAAATTAATAATAATACTCATTATCAATCCGTAAAGAAAAATAGGTATACTTACATCGCACGCGCTTCGATATTGCACTAGATTCTGGCAAATACCCATCGTGGCCTGATTTTGTTTGCCCTCAGTTATGCAAATAATTTCCTCCAACATTTCATTGATTATTTTTTTGATCGCATAGTTGACACGGCCAGTATTTTCTTCGCCAACTATATCGGCCTGAGGAGAGATAACCAAACCTTCGAGAAGACTAACAGATGCATGCAAGATTGTCGAAATGTATTCACACCGCATTGCCTCGTTAGTATCTACTACTGGTCCCATGTTCTTTATCCTGCGAAGTATATCTTCAACGCAAAACTTGAACGCCGGATTATCTTCGTCGATTTTGAATGTGACTAATTGTCATGAAATATTAGTAAACGAAGTTATATGAAAGTTTTCTCTATCATCTCATTTCTCACCTGGTGTAAATTGCGGAATGCGAGTTATGTCCCCACTTATAATTCCATACTTCGCTAGGACTGCTTTAAAATCTTTCAAAGTACGATATGACGAGTATGCCCTTTTCGTGTTGTCCTTGAGTGCCTTGACCTCTTTTGCTAGTCTCATTGCCGGACCACCTTTCAATCCATAACTTTGGAACTTTTCTTCGGTCATATCAAGAAAGTCCTGGCCATTGATCTTCTCATTGCGGATAATAGCGAAGTCCTCATCGTCAAGCTTGAGGTCTTGTTCTTTCAGGAAGACGACAAGTGTTTCGGTGTCCCATTTTTCAACGTTGGTATAATTTTCCAAATCTGAAGTAATGGCACTCGTCATAGCTGGGGTGGTTGGATTTATGTCACAGGTTGGGTATGGAACACAAGAAAGAAATTTTTTCGGTAAGATCATCAATCTTATTATAGATTTCGTTAGATTCGTTTTTTCGTTTCTCTTTCAATAATTTGAGTTCCATATCGATTTGTTGTTTGAAAATATAGAAAACGAAGCATATGATGACGATGAATAGGTATATAAATAGTTTTTCTCCAAATATCAACGTTACGACGAAGATAAATATAGGGATTAAAATAAAATAACTCTCTAATGGCATTTTTGAGAGAGCTTCGAAAAATTCAGTTGGCGTCATCTAAAATAATATCAGTCAGCCTGGTGGTTCATTTATAATACAACGAGATACAAATAGTCTATTGCGAAGCAATGACCCTTTGGGTCTACATACCTTCGATTTTGACAATGTAAGAATGATATTTTAATATGATTTATGTTTTGGTTAATTTATGACGTTTTATTGATTTATTCGATTAATTGTTTGATTGTTATGCAAAGTATGAGCAAGGCTCTATATCGCGCGACGATAATTTTGTTAAGGACGACCTGCAAATTTAACCCTAGACAACGCACGTTTTTATATCTGTAGCTCGTAAAACTGTGTCTCAGACACTAGCTCTGCTATATCTCACAGTAAAGCGATCAATCTATCTTAATTTCACAAAACAAAGATGAATTAGCTTAGTTTCTTGCGTATCCCGTTTCTTAACACGAATTATATCTGGTTTATTCTATGTGATCACGGCATTGGTTCCCGCCTTCTCATGACTCCATCACTCGAAGCTAGATAAATACAGTTAATTATATATCTTTATTTAGGTGGCATATATCTTTTTTCGAACCTGTGAGAAAAAAGGATTTCGTTCTAAGTAATTAATTCGTCGCTTCATTACGAACTCGAACGCAAAACAACATTTTAGTTGGGCAAATCTATTGCGATTAATGAACTAACTATCGGCTAATGAATTGGGAATCGAAATTTAGCTAGCTCGTGATCAGCAATTCCGGATCGGCACTAACATGATTCGTTTACAAATTTGGGGTACCGTTAAAGCGGAGTAGTGCCCAGCCACGATTGGCGCCATCACAATCATTGGTCAATTAAATTTTAGATCACCAACCAATCGGATTTACTGTGACGTAAAAATCACGAGAATTAATCACATGGCATCGAGCCTCGCTATTGGTCAAAAACTAACAACAAGACAAGAACGCTTTAATGCATAAGATTCATGATGCGTCAGGATCACAATGCATAAGAATCACAATGCTTAAGGATAACAATGGGTAAGAATAATGGATAACAATAAATAATATGTAATTATTAAACTTTTATTTCAATAAAGCTTAATCAAAGAAAAGTTTATTTTTTTCAATTTGCCAAAAAAAAGTTCTCTATTTACCTCTTCTTACCATTGAGATATTTTTAACCAGTAAATTTAAATCTGAATATCTAACTTATAAATTGTAATCAAAAAAAAGTTGTAATGAAAAAATTATAATAAAATTAAATTGCATCAAGCTTACTAAAAATAGGATTTAAAGAAGTTTCCAGCTTAAAAATAAACATCTCTATTTGCTTATCATTATCCCTCTCTTCAACTTTCCAATATTTATTATGTAATCTTTTGGTTAATTCATTTATCATAAGCTGCTGATTTTCTGCTCTTTTTTCTTTTTCAGTTTATTTAGGTATCTCTGCCATTATAAATTCATGATAATGATATACTTCGAAGCCACTTTTCTCAAATAGTTATTGAAACATCCTTCAAGCATTAGTAATTAATAACTTAGTGATACTGTACATATGTTCATGAAAAATATATTTACATAACAATATATAATGATTATGAAACAGATAATGACAATCAAGTGAAATAAGTTCTGATACACTCTTGCCTTTTACCAGTCTATCCATTACTATAAAAATCTCTTTGATAAATATTTGTTGCATGAAGAAGAGAAACTGATAGATTTCTTCGAGAATTTTATAATCAATACCATAGGTGAATATTTTTTTTGTTTGAAAATTAAAGATGATACTTTCAGAATCAGCTTGCTTCTTGTGATCAAGAGTAATGATTTTATGGAAAGTACCTAAAACAAAAATCAAGTACAAATTAGTAATCAAAAAGAGAAAAGTAACATATCATATTAGCATACAAAGATTTTAACTTCTCAAAAATTCCCAACTTATTGAAATTCTCTAAACTCACCAACTTAAATCTCCAACTCTTACCAATTAATCTATGCAAATGAGATGTTATTTGTTTTAGCTTCCTATGATAGGATTCAAGCGCATTTGTAGAAGTAATTTGTAAAAAAAGAGGTGAGTATTGATGAGTTCAGAGCCTATTGATGATTATTTTTAAGATAGTTTTTTTCAATGTATTTACAGATTGTCAAAATCATACAAGAATGGATAGCTTCTTAAATTAATTGCTCATAACCAATTTTTGTTTTTTTATGCATTGCTAGGATCATAGTTTCCTGAGCTTTTTTTTCATAAATTTTTATTATCCATATCTGCATAATGTGAACAGTGCAGAGAATTATATTACATTATTATTTATTATCAAGAAGACCAGGAAAAACTCACTTTATACTATTGGCTTCAATACTATTCTGATCCATAAGAATGTACCAGGACATCCAGCAAGGATATTTATTTCAGATTATTTGTAGTACTTTAGTAACTGTCTCACTGTCTTCATTACTTATAAAAAAGTGAGTGCTGATATTCCAGCATCTGTAGCTATTGTGAAGATATAAAGTAAATAGGCACTAATTATATTTATTTATTTTATGTGTAGAATCAATTAAAGTAAGTTAGCCATAATATCATAGTTTTTCAAATTACTTAGAATATATGAAAACAATACCTTTGGTAAATCAGTTGAAAATATGATAATGCTCAACATGATATTCTTGTTCATTTAAATAGGATACAGTTTCCAGAATATTTGACTTTAAGTTAGTACTACCAATAAAGTGAGTCTTCATAGATTCATAAAACTTGTATCTAATATTTATGACTTCTCTCCATTTTAAGTTTTGAATACTAGTACCAAGATTTAGTTTATTAATTGCGTACTCCTTAATGATATTGATAATTATTACTGACAGATAATTTTTTATTACTTCTTGTTTAATCAGAGTTTGAATAGCCTCCAAATATTTGACTTGATCACTTTCTTTTAGAGTATGTGTATGATTTGATGAATTATTGTAGTATTCAATTCAAATCTTCTTGGAGAAAACTAATCATGTAATTTTAATTTTGGCATAATAAAGTCCAGATGGTTAAATCATTGTTTTTTTGTGTTTCTCATTTGGGATATCTTTGTTTTGTCGCATGCTTGAGTCTCAGTATTTTATAAACTGACATGTAAAAATCTTTCAGGAATTATCATTGACGAGTTTATAGGAATTGAATTAAGTTCATACATTTGAAATCAAGAGTCACTAATTATTATCAAATTCTTTATTTGGAATCTCAAATACATTTTGTATATTAAAAAGAAGAATCTATTTTTTATCTGGAATAAGACAAGAAGTACTTATTAAAAATAGTCAAGATGGTGATAATAATGATGGTAAGAAGTGATGATAGTGAAGATAGTAGAGATAATATAACAGATGTGATGGTGAAGTGATAATAATAGATACAGTGATGGAGTGGTGATAATAATAATTAATAGTTCTTGTTAGAGGTGGTATTGTAAAAAAAAAGTATTAATATAAATTTCCATAGAACTAAATATCACAACTTAAAAGTCAAGAGAACATATTCAGTTGGATAATTGATTCTGGTAGGGATACTTTCTGAATATTCATATTTGGTTTGAAATACTCATTATTTACCAGAAAAATATTATATATCAGACTTCCCAACAAATTCATCTCATTTTAAAGTCAACAAGAGAAAAAAAGTCTCATATTATTATTATACCATAATAAACTTATTCTTTATCTCATAATTTAGTTGCAGATATATGAATATCTTGCAGTTACATACATATAAGCATACAGGTATTCAAATATATAAATATATGAATATCTTATAATTTAACAGATATACAAACACATATCCTATCATACCACAGATCATCAGACTATGTGATGTCAATTATGGCTAGGCACTACTTCACTTTAACAGTATTCCAAATTTGTAATATATGAGATATGAGAAATGTATTTTGTTATACAATACATGTATCACATTATTTTTCAGCAGAAATTTTTCCAATCATGAAGATTTTCTTAACAGTTTTTTATCACGTGATTTTTTCTAGACATTTTGGAACAGACTAAACATTTTATTTTATTGCAGAGCAATGAGATTTCATCTCTATAAAAAAAAATATCTTGAAGATGATAGCTGATACAAATAATAAAATTTGCAAATATATATTACAATTATATAATACGGATATGAATAAAAATCTAATTCTCTTCTGATATAAATTTTACAAGAATATGAATAATATTATGATTGAGATTCTCACTGAAATAATTATTAATTCTATCTCTTGATATCATATTTACATATACCACAGGTTCCAAATGAAATGTATAAAGCTGGTAGTTAACATGAGTTAATTTACCTGGTATAAGTGATTGAATTAAATTTATAAGCACATTGACTATTAATGCATTAGAAATAAGAATTATGTGAATTTGGTAAGATAAACCATAGAATACATTAATAGGCATAAAGAGACAGTTGAGATTAATGCTGATACTGGTAGTTTTACTTATTTTACGTTCCTAAATAGAAAGATTCATAGTGAGTATGATATTGCTTTCATAGATTTCTAAACAGATATACCTTTTAAAATTCATGAGAAGGTAAAAGACCAACTTTGGATAATTCCTGCTTACTTATATTGATTCACTTAATCTGAAGTCTGTTAGAGAGATTTGATATGTTAATAATTTTGTTCTCTATCATCCAGATCTCAGATTCCTAACATAGTAAGATTCTC